AATACATATAATAATATAATAAATTATGATATAATAAAAATAATTAAAAAAGCACAAAAAATTATAAAATAAAATAAAAAACAAGAGAAAATGCAGCTGTGCAGAATTGGGGTGTATAGGCACCTCAATTCTTTGAGTTTCATAGATTTCATCTTTTTTGTATTTTTTAGCATTATTTATTATTTATTATTATTTTTAATGTTTATTTTTATTATCTATTTTTTATTTTTATCTTTATTTACTACTTTTTTGTGTTTTTTTTTTGTTGCTTCTAGGGATGCATCGATACACCCTAAACCCTAAACCCTAAACCCTAAACCCTAGAGTTTATAATTTAAAAATAATTTTATATTATATTGTGTATTTTTAGTTTTCTTTTGTTTTATTTTGTTTTGTAGTTATTGAGTTTATCTCTGGTTTATTATAAGATACAATCTTTGGGTGTACAGCTGTAGCTGTTGCTTTATATTAAAACTTACATAAATAAATAAATAAATAAATATAAATTATATTTATTTATTTATTTATGATTATTTTTATCACTACTTGTTTATTTGTTATTCTTTTTATTGTTATTTATTTATTTATTTATTTGCTTTTTTTTATTATTGTGTTTCTGTTTACCTTGATAGCAAATCATAGGTCACCACCAGAAGCAGAAGTATATATAAGTTTGTTGTATTTTCTTTTTTTTTCTGTCTAGGGTTTAGTGTTGATTGCATCATACAAGCTAAACCCTAAACCCTAAACCCTAAACCCTCGACCAAAACCCTAAACAACAACTCTACACAGACGAGAGTAGCCGCATGCAGGGCTGCAGCAACCTGCCTCCAGCAGCTGAACTTTGTTAATAAGAAAGAATATAAGTGGATATATTTTGCTTTTTTCTCTGTATTTACATAACTACGCAGTATCTTTCTAACCACTCTAAACCCTAAACCCTAAACCCTAAACCCTAAACACTACTTGGGGCTGAATATCGCAGCATTTGTGTGTTGTGTACTCAGCAGGCGAATGTTTCTACTTAAAGAGATATAAAAAAGATAAAACTCAGAAAATACAAAAGACAAAACCAAAGAAAACCAGCAAAGTTCAGTATCACTGTCGGCGGTTATTTTTATTTTTTATGGAAAATACAAACAACGAGCCAGAAAAGAAGAAACTCACGAGAAATGCAGTTGTTAAACCTAAAAGAAATAAATAAATTCATAAAAAAACCAAAAACTGAATTCAAAACACAATTTGCTTCAGCTGTACATACACCGCAGCAATCGCCGAGCGGTCGTTGACCTGACCACCGGCTACACAGGCAGAGAAAGCGGTAGAAAATGGGTTTTTTTTGGGTTTTTTTCTGCGGAATTTCGAGTGAAACTTGAAAATAAAGTAAAAATATACCTTTTCTCAAAAGATGAACGGAAAATTCCGAAAAAAATACGCCTTTCTAGACAAGTTCCTTCGGGCGTGATGCTGGT